TGTTTTAATTGTCTCTATAGCACTTGACACAATTTGTAATTATCCTGCTTTATTCACTCACTTGCTTATTATCTGCTTTCTATTACAGAACAGCGTAAGTTATACAAGAGCAGGAATCTTATCTTTCATATTCACTATGTATTCTCTGGAACAGGACTTTGCAAATTATAGGCACTAAATAACTATTTTGAGAATAAATGAATGCTCATATATCATGTGCTGATACAGCACCAATCCCTAAGCACAATGCATGGGATGTAGTGGTCACTTGGTAAATAGTTGTTTACTGTAACTGAATGAGTAAACCTGATTACCTCTAAATAGAAGCTGCTACTTAATAGAGGTTGCTGTAGTTTGAATGTTTGTCTCTCAAACCTCATGTCAAAATCTGATTTTCGATGTTGTAGGTGAGGTTTAATGGGAGGCTTTTGGGTCATGAGAGCATATCCTTCATGAATAAATTAATGACCTCTCTCAGGGCTAAGTTTTCACTCTATTAGTTCCTAGGAGAACTGGTTGTTACAAAGAGTCTGGCATCTACCCTCTCTCTCTCTCTCTCTCTCTCTCTCTCTCTCCATCTCTCTCTCTCTCATGCACGTGTGCCTCCTCTCTCAGCATGTGATCTCTGCACATGCCACGTGCCAGCTCCCCTTCACCTTCCATCATGTGTGGAAGCAGCCTGAAGCCCTCATCAGAAGCAGATGCTGACACAATGCTTCTTTCAAAGCCTGCATAACCATGAGCCAAAAAATCTTTTTTTCTTTAAAAATTATCCAGCCTCATGTATCTCTTTATAGTGGCACTATACCGAATAAGACAAAGATGTTGGTATGGATTATTTATTATTGTGTGTATTAGCTCCAATTGCCACTGAAACCAATGACCACAAATTTTGTGGTTTAAACCAACACAAATTTATTTTCTTATATATCTGGATATCAAAATCTGACATGAGTCTCTCAGAGCTAAAATCAAGGTGTCATAGGGCTCTATTCCTTCTGGAGGCTCCAGGAAAAAATCTGTCGTTTGCCTTTTTCAGCTTCTACAGGCAGTCCACAATCCTTAGATTGTGGCCTCATTCCGTCTTTCAAAGGCGGCTATGCCAGTTGAGTCCCTCTCATGTTGCAGCACTCTGACGCTAACTCACCTGCCTACCTCTTCTATTTATAAGGATGCTTGTAGTTACACTGGGCTCACCCAGATAATCCAGGATAATCTCTCCATTTCAAGATCCTTAATTTAATAACATCTGTAAAATGTTGTTTGTGATGTAACATAACATATTCACAGATTCCAGGGATTAGGATGTGGACATCTTTAGGGGGCCATTATTCTGTCTACCATATTCGGCATGATTCTGGGAACAAATCACACTTGTCTTAGACAATCCCATGGAGACCCTCTCTCTTATCTTTCAAACGTGTGCTACATAGTTATATTCTGGAGAGGAATTCCTTATAAATAATCTTATCTCTCCTTTTCCCATCTCAGTGCTGCAGCCCAAATGGGTGAGTGATGTTGTAATATTTTGTATAAATTGAACAATGAGTTCAGACTACTGCCTCCCATGCATACAAACAGCCTGAAAATAAGCAGATGTTGACATCTCTGGACCAGCTAAAATTCCATTTCTGTTGCTGGTAGTAGATAATTAAAAGAAGAGAAAACACATTCCATTCCCATCACCAAAATAAGAACAGCACTGTATCTTGTAAGAAGATTGAATTCAGTAGGAGCCAAGCAAATTGCATCATTATTAGAAGGATCTATCTTAAGCCTGGGGGTAGAGGAAGAGGGACAGGATTACGGACTCCAAAACCCGCACTTAGCTATGGTAATTCTCTTCATTTTCTTAGAGTAAATCAGCCTACACAATTAAGCAAACCCAGGGGCCTAACACATTAACTTTCCATCGATATATTCTCTCTGTCTTAGCACCACCAGTGTTTCTGGCATTATTTATGAAGGCACTCTTGCTATATTTGCACAGCATGCAGCATTGTTCATAGCAGGCTACAGATTATTGTCAATGAATAATGCCCTAGAAGCTCCTAACCCTTTGTGCTTATGTCTAATAACTAAATCAGTAATAGCTGCTTCTCTGTGTTCTACTTAAGATGATAGCACAGCCATAAATAAGCTACCAGCGGCAAGATCCCATTTGGCATCAGTGACTACCACTGCAAAGCTACAGGTTCATAGTGTTTCCTGTCATACTATAAACACTGTTCATCGTTAAGAGTTTTTTTAAGGTGATGAACCTTAAATGTGGACGTCAAAATTTTATGAAATCTCATTTTGCTTGAATTGTTAATCATCCAATGTATACATCAGGTCTTTTTTGAGAATTTGCCTGTGGGAAATGGTAAGAATAACTCCAGAGAAGTGAGAATTCCCACAGTCACTCTTCTCTGTAAATGACTAAGAATTGCATGGACAGTCACCTTCTAACATGGGGAGAGGAAGAACTTTTCTCATGCCAACCACCATGCTTTGTCAGAGAGCTTTAGAAGAGGCCAGTGCATCTCAGGAGTGCATTTCACAGCCCAGTTTCTCTCAGAAATTTCCCTTTTATCTCTCCCCACCAACCCTGTAGAAATACTTTATCAAAATTTGTAGGAAAACTAGTGCTGCTTTTACTAAAACACCATGAGGTCACTGTCTATGCCTAGTGCCTAGTTTTAATGTCTCTAGTGAATATCTTTCAAAGTTCATGCAAGAAGTAAGCATTCAGAAAGATATAGTCACCTCCTTTCCCATGAAATCACTGAAGGCACCATCCAACTTAAGACTCATGATTTTGGGGGACAATATAAACCAAGCACCACAAACACTAGAGAGGAAGACAGAGCAAGAACCCTGGACAGAACTTCCTGCCTGACGACCATGGTGATGAGGGACTTTGTCACTAAAAGGCACTGGGTAGCCCCTTTGCTTCCTGGCCTTTCCTGGCCTTATCAGCTCACCAGGCTATATTCATTTCCTGGGTCTGTCAAAACAAATTACCACAATTTGGGTGACTTGAAAAAACAGAAAGTTACCCTCTCACAGTTCTGGAGGCCAGAAGTGCAAAAATCAAGGTGTTGGAAAGGCCATGTACACTCTGAAAGCTCTAGGGGATAGTCCCTCCTGGCTTCTTCCATCTTCTGGGGGCTGCTAGTGTCCCTCAGCTTGAGATAGCATCACTCCAACCCCCGACTCCATCTGTGTGTGGTCTTCCTCTTTGTGTGCCTCTGTGTCCAAGTCTTATGAAGACGAAGTCAAATGATTTCATCTTTGAGATCCTTACATCATTACATCTGCAAAAACCCTATTTCCAAACAGCATTGCATTCTGAGGTTGCAGGTGCACATACATTTTTGGAGGTGGGCTGCTGTAGGAAGTCACTACTCAGTTCACTTCACACAGTCTGGCTTCTCTGCCTGGGCTAGGCTGCTGGGAGACAAATTTGTATTCCCATGGCCTTCACACTTCCCTTCTCCAGCAGCCATCTGCTCCCCTGGTCCTCCCAGGAGATCTAGAGAGCCTGGATTAATGCAGAACTGAGCACAGCACCCTGCAGGGTGTCTTTCCCAGCCTGCCACGCCTGCTCCCCACCAGCCGGGCTTTCCCCTGGCAGCACAAGTCCAGCTGTGCTGGCTCCTCTTCTGGAGAGACGAGCCTCTAGCTCCGAAGCTCCTTCCTTCTCCCTAGAAGACTCTGCAAACTTCCACTCAGCATTCAAAGAAACTGGAGAGCCTCAATTTTTATTTAAAGTCTGCTTCCTTTCCTGACTATAATGTTAGTGCAACTTCATTACAAGGTGATTTTTCTTCAAATACATCAGAATACTAAAAAGATAAAAATTGCCATTAGTCCCGCCTCATGAGGTAACCACTGGCACTATTTAGATAAGGAAGTCCCCCCCAACCTTCTCCCCCTATGAAACATGCCATCCACTTTTGTAAAACCAGGTAGGGTGGGAGTGCACAAGTCGTTTTCCCGCTCCCTGGATCTCAGGTTCACAGAACTGAATTAACTCAAATATAAGCAACACAGTGAAAATAACACTCCAGAATTAGAATCTCTTTTTATCTTGCTGTTTTCACATTATCTGTTCTAATCGTTTCCGCATGTCACTAAATAATCTCTAAAACACAATTGTAATGGCTGCTGGTTATTTCATGTTATGCATGCATTGCAATTAATTCAAACAATTCTACATTATGGGCATATAGATCAAGTCCAGTTTTCAATAAAATAATAATAAAACAATGTATAATTTTGCTACCAAATTTTCTTGAAGAGCTTCGATAGTTGAAATACATTTTTAATCAAAAGATAAAGATACCTTAAAAGTTTTTGATATACATAATAAACCTCTCAAAAGCTTATAACAATTTATACTTTTACCATCTATTTTATTATTCTTTTCAAACACTGAGTTTTAAGTACATCAACCTTGACTAATTTGAAAGGCAGATAATGCTATTTTATTGCATTTTAATTTGTATTTATTTGATTTCTTGTGAGATTAGAGATTCTTATATTCATAAACTATTATATTTTTTCTTTTGTAATTGCTTCTTCAAATTCTTTTTCTTAGCAGAATATCTATCTTTTTCAATAATTCACTTGTTCATTCAATAAATTTCTATTGAGTGTTTACAATGTGCTAGAAGGTAAGCTAGATTGAGAAAAAAGAATACTGGGAGATGGTTTCTTGGTTTCCGCCTTCATTGAAAATTGTATTTGCTTTTTCTTTAATTTACAAAATCTCTTTATGTGTTAAGACTATTAACCTTATCTTATGTGTCTTGAACATTTTTACTAACTTGCCATTTTTTTAATTTTGTGGGTGGTAGTTACTCTTTTATGGAAATTGAGGGGGGAAATCATCTGTATTTGGGGGAAGGGAAAGAAGAGGTTTATACTTAAAGCAAACTTCCTCAGCAAAAATATTCAGCTATTCTTATTCTTTTCATTTATTTGTGCTTCCACTCTTCAAGTACATTTTCCATTTGGATTTTATTTTGATATATAACATGAGGTTTTAGAACTTTATTATTTTTCAAGTGGTAATTAATTATCCCAGTCCATGTATTAATGAATTGTCATTTTTTCATTGTGTAGCACCTCATATTTATCATACGCTAACCTTCAATAAACATGAGAGTCTAAGCCTTCTATTCTATTCCATTGTTCTGTCTATTCTTGGGCCAATGTCTCAGTTTTCATTATTAAAGCTTTTAAAAATATTTCAACATATGACAATGCAAATCTTAGCATTTTAAAAAAATATCTCATCTATTTTCACTATGTTCTTTTTCCTGATTCAGGATCACTTTATCAAGACCAAACAAACCAAAACATTCCCACCGGCACTCCGATTAGAATTGCCGTAAATTCCCTTTAGACTGTAAATCTGTTACATGAGATTTCACTTGCCTCTGTTCCCAGTTGAAAAGCAATTCATCTTAATTATCTTTCATGCCACGGTCCCTTACACACCTGATCCTATGTTCCCACCACCTTACAGGACCACACAAAGCAGACCTGTCAACTCAGGTCTGAAACTCCGCCTCATAAACCGGGAGAGAAGCAGGCCAACAAGAAAATTGCTTAGAAGTAAATAAAGGAAAAAAAGAGACTGAAGTCCAAAGTTGCATTCCAAACTAACAATGTAAGTTTATAAATCAAAGTAAATTAAGATCCACTTACATTTTTTTATTGGTTAAAATGGTACAAGCATTTTTATATATTTTATTGCAAATGCAAAGTATTTTCAGATATTTTATGATCATTAAAAGATTTTTTGGGTAGGTTGTTGCAATACATCCCATGCTATAATGCAATATAAAAAAAGATATACAATTTCTCTTCTAGAGAATAGAAAAAAATAGAAGTTTCCTAACATTCTTATTCAAATTTAACTGTAAGAGATGCACCAGTTCAGATGGCCATCTCATGTGGCTTTTCACTAAGACGTCTCTGCAAGCATTTGTTCTTTCTAAATCCTCTGGCCTTCAACATTTGGCCCTGGCATCAGTCATCTTCTTTGTGTTACCAAGAACAGGTTTAAGTACAGGATCATGAGCAAGCATTATGTATAACTGCTTTGGAAAAATAAACCAAACAATAAACTGTTCTAAGGTTTCCAGAGTGTATTGGTAGATAGGCCCCACCTTTGTTTTCTATGAATCTTGATGAAACTGAATATTAGATTGCTGCATTTATCTAGCTATAAGCCTCAACAGCTTGCCGAAAACTTTTTTCAGCCCATTCTACATAACACAACTCACAAGAAACCGTGGCATTCATTAGGGATTCATCTTTTTCTCTCCTGGCATGTGAAAGTAGGTCAAATTTCTTACTCAAAGGTCCAAAGGAACTTTATGTACCCATGTTAGTTTTGGCTTGTTTTCAAGAACTGGGTTGAAACAAATCGGGTACCACTTAGGTAAAGAATTCAAACTAATTCCAGTGGACAACAAAGGGCCACACAATCCTACTGCACAGCACAGGACAGACACAGGACCTGAGAACGAGGCGAGTGTCAGGAATCCTTCCTGGCCATGTAAATAGACAAACGCCCAGTGAGGTTGTGTATGTTGTCATATATATTGTTCTCAACCTTATCCCCTTTTAAATGGTTCGTTTTTCAATCCCAGCAGGTCTATCTCTTTGTTGATCAGCATGAGGCTGGCATTTGAATGACACTCTGCAAGAGCTGAAGGACCATCTCAGGGTCTCTAATATATTTCCCTGGAAGCTGTTACAGTCTCACCAGGAAGCTAGCCCTGTGGAATCATCACTGGGGATTCTCCTGAGGGTCTCAGGACTTGCACATGCCCCTCCCATGGTTCCAAGAGGCTCTTTGCAAAGGCCATTGCTGGAAAGACGTGTGTAAGAACCAAAGTTCCCCTGGGAATACTTCACCCACAGAATCACAAGGGGCCAAGGCTGGAAAAACTGCCTCAACTCTGTCGTGTCACACCAGGGCCACACAGTCAGCAATGGCCACTGGGCCTTTAATTCCAGGTGGGTGCTTGCAAAAATTCTCTTTCTCAAAACCTTCGAAATGTCTTATTTTTTCCCTAAATTCAAGTGGCAATTTCTCTATAACTGGATATAATTTCATTTATATGAAAAATGGGATTATATCTTCATTTATGTTTCTGTTGAAGCTGAAAAAATTTACTATGTCTGGCTTATGAAAAACTAAAAGATTGAGTAGGATGAGTCTTCTTTAGACCAAAGATAGAATTCTAAATTATATTTATACTTTTCAATTTTGCAGCATGATTATATTGAAACAGACTTGTGACATTACCTAAAGTATCTAGAGTTTTCTTGCTCAGCAGATTTTTCGCCCACTTTCCTCATTAAAAGCTCATGAACTGTCTCACATTTTCTTTTTTCTGATCCCACATTGATAACATAATCGTCACACATTTTCTTGGCGATTTCAGGAGATAAGTGCTCCTTTTAGTAAAGCCTTATTGAATTCAAAATTTACCTGTATTTCATGGAGGCCTCTGTCTTTTATATTGCTTTATTTATATAAAGGATAATTTAAATTTCTTACTTTTCCCAAGATCTTTTGCACAGAACATTCTCATTTCTCTTGTGTGACATTACAGTAGAATTCGATCAAACTTAAATGATGTAAAATCTCCCGTAGTTCTAGGTACAGGATCATGCAATTAAAATATGTATAGTATTGCTTGATTAACCAAATAAATGTTCAGGAATATATAATTAAGATAAGCCCTTTTATGCAATGAATCAATTCAAAATTGGTGACTTGAGTTCAATGTTACATATAAACAGTATAAGGTTAGTTTCTTAAATAAATAAAAACATATGCAGAAATTTATATAGGTCTCATAGACAATAATAACTAATATTTACACAGATTTATGATATGCCAAACACTTTATGTGTATTTGTCCATTAATCTTTACAACAACAAGTTAGAGACTATTATCCGCATTTCCTAGATGAAGAAGTTGAGGTTCAGGAAGGTTGGGTAATTTGCCCAAAGTTACATAATTAGCAGTGACAGAGTCAGGTTTCAAACTCACATCAGCTGACTCCAAACTCATGTTCTTAACCAGCATGCAATACTGCCCCTAAAGCTTATTCCAGGCAGTTTCCCTGTCAAGTTTAGCCAAGAGCCTGCCCTTGTTAAACTTCTACTGTCAGATGAATTATGACTAATTCCCATAGCTGTGCAAGATGGAAGCCACAGAAGGTCTTGCAGTAAAACCCCAAGTTTCTTCATGTCTGTAGTATAATTAACAGGCAAGAAGTTCTGATTTGGGGATGCCAGATTTATTAAATAAAAATACAGGATGCTAAGGTAAAAGTATGTCCCATGCAATATTTTAGACATACTTAGACTAAAAAATTATTTGTTGTTTACCTGAAACTCAAATTTAGCTAAGTGTCTTCTATTTTATCTGGCAACATTATCCTGCAACTATTGCATTCTCATGTGTTGTCCATGAAACAGGAAGAAAATGCTCATATGAAAATTCGAAAGCCCATCTTCAGCCGAATGCCAGGGTGACCCCAAGAATAATTCAGATTCCAGAGTCACTTGAGGCTTGTGATGGGGTCACACCCCTACATCTCCACTCCTCGCCCAGCCAACCAGCTCCCATGTGCTAGCATGTCCTCAAGCCCAGGGCACTAGGCAGTGTGACATAATGGACTAAGTTACAGGAAAGCCCCTTTTCCAAAAGGTTGACTCTGTCTCTTCATATTTCAACTGAAGCCTAAGTCACAGAGGGTAGGATATTTGGATGGCAAAGTATCAGCAAAAATTGTCACCAACTCCCAATGGTCATTCTTCCTCCCACCACACTCCTGGCCCCTAATCCAAAGTTTAATGAAATATTGCAAAGCTTCATGTTGAAAAGAAGGTACTTCTCATTTTATTGCTTTATGGGTGTTCAGTCTCAGTCAGAAACTGTAAAGACCAGATGGACATGGTCTTTGAACAGCTGCAGAAAGATGTGGTTCTGGATGCTTTGTATCTGACAGCCTTAAAGCTCACGCTGGGGATCAGGCCAAAATGCATGATTGCATGTGAAATTACTGGGTGAGCTTCCCATTACTGAGTTCACAGTGGCCTTGAAAAATATTGTCCTTTGAAGTATGCCAAGTCAAAATCATGCAAAGTGCTATTTAATTGATGCATCGAGTTTAAAAGCATACAACTCTATCATATTAGCCCTGTGTTGGTCACATCAGCAAGTGCTCAATAAATAACTTGTTGACTGATTGACTGAGGGGATATTGGAAAAAGTACTGGATAATTCTCTTTGCTATATGACCAGATGTCCTCTGCAAGGGTGAACCCAGCAGAGCACAGCAGGGCAACAAAAGCAATTGAAGGAGCTGCTGAAAATTATTCAGTGAGGGCAAAAAGGAAGAGAAACACATTATCTGCATTCTATGCTGGATGTACAAGCATTGGAAATGGGGTTGTCACAGCAGTGAGAACAGAAAACATTGCCCAACGTTGGGAATTAAGAGGCTTGAATTTTGGTCTTCTGCCAATAACCAGGCATGAGGCCTTGGGAAAGTTAATTTACGTTCTCTCTGGAAGTTTGGCTAAAAGTGTTCTAAGGTCACTTTTAATTTTTAATTTTTCTTCTGACTCAGGTTTATATACATTTGAGCATCAAAAAATTTTAGCCTTCTGCCTCCTCTCAAGTATTGATTTGCTGCTTTTATTCCTCAACTTTTCTTAGCAGATTACATACTTGAAAAATGTGATACTGATTTTTTATGAATATCCCTAGCTCTAAAGTTCAGATAATTAGATTAATTAGGTTAGATAATTAGGTTAATCAGCATAGTCCTGGAGCTCTCATACAATCAATCCTTCTTATACTCATTCATTCTTTTATTTGGTGAATATTTAAACTTTAGCCAGTAAATATTTATAATTTATTAAGAACTTATTGCATGTTATGTACTGAACCAGGCGTTGGTGAGGAGGTTCCTACCCTCAAAGGTGTTATAGTCTAGTTAGAGAAACAGGACTGTGAATGGGGAATTTCAGCCAATCATGGTAAGTACTGTAACTCAGGAAATGACAAAGAGCTGTGGTAGTCCAGAGGGAAGCCAGCCATCTCCCAACTGAAACCAATCAGAGAAAGTTACCAGACAGAAGAGCAAGAGGAAATATTTCCGGCAGAAAACAAGAGGTTGTTCTGCAATAATATGCACAACTGACATGGGCTAGAAGATAAAATGAGGCTGAAGAGAACAGGTTTGATAGCTAAAAAGTCACAGAAGGGAGCAAGAAATTAATTAGGAATAGAAGTAGAAAAAATCATTAAAATGTATAAAATAAGTATGTACGTTTCTGGAAGAAAGGATGAGGGATGTTAAGAACATGAGCTCCTGTCCTGCAGAAAATCTTAGTGAACAACATAGAACACCATGGTCTTCCATGGGCCACTCAAGACATTTTGTTGTAGCATCAATCCATGATAATGTGTCACGTCTCTCATTTCCCGTAGCACCAGCTCATCTACCTCTCCTTGACCCCAAACTAAAGTGGCCTGCACTGCCCAGCAGGTGCTACTCATTGTGTAACCCTGGGGATTACAACTTGTAAGCACCTTGTCTATCCAGCTGTTTATTGGCTCTGGACTTGGAAAAAAATATGGTTCCTTCCTCAGATGATATCATTTGAGCTTTTGTTTCCAACCTTGAGTAAAGAGTTAATTCCTTATGTGCTACAAACCTGTCAGCACCAAACAAGGTTTGGTATATCAAAGCCAAAAATCCCATATCAACACCTTCGAGCAAGAACCATGTGTTCTCCATATATTGCAACAACCTTCACGACCCCCTCTCCTATTTCCACTAGCCTTGTGGCCCTTTGTAAATAATGGCAGAATTTATTTAATATTCATCTACATTTTGTACTTTAAAAAGCCCTGAAGTTGCTTCCTAAATCCTTAAGAACCCTGTTTCTTTCTCTACTAGAATGAGTTAAGGTGGTGAGTAGAAACAGATGGAAAAAAAGAGATATAATTAGGAATGAGCAGGAATTGTGGCTTTCCTATTTGTATGGCATGGTTCCTTTCACTGAGGATAATGCATGAGCTTCAGTGTAATGTGTAATACGGTCATCAATTTTAATTTTGCCAGCCTTTCATTTGACTGTGGCTGCCATTCCTATCCTGATCTTCAAAGGGCACGGCCAGGATGATTATCGCAGCCACCATATCTTTCTCCTGTAATGTCACTGAATCTGATCAACCTATTTTCTTTGCAACTTGGGATCACAGGTAGAGAGCTATTGCACTCGATCTGATAATCACCTTTCTCCAAATGCACAGATTTTAGAAGGATGATAATAACAACCACATTTTCTGTTATATAACTCATTTCAGACAAATATTCTATTCTAGTCCACATTTAAATGATCATAGCACATGGGATTGCATGACCTTGCCTTTGCTAAGTTTTGTATCTTCAGTTGGGGACAAAAGAAAACTCAAACTTGGCCATTTCACTGAATGATCTCACTGATGCTTAAATGTTTCATCTTTAAACAACTGTCCCATATGTATATGAAAACCAGAAGTTTTCTTTGTCTTTTAATGTTACGCTTTGCACATTTTTACTGCACATAAGCCAAGTTAATGCAGGAATCATTAGTGTTAAAATTCATGAATTAATGTGATTCCAGTCAGTTTTTTAGTTCAAGGAAGAAGCTTTTAACACAAATCTGTATGTGCAGATTTGCTAAACTCCCCAGTTCAGACAGTGGATGTTTATAGTTTCAGAATCCAGTTGATACTCCTCAAAAAATAAAAACAGTCAAGGCATTTTTTAAGTAGGTTAGTAGTTATTTCCTTTTCTCTAAAATTTGAAGAAATTCACTTAGTGTCTGAATAACTTTACCATCTGATAAATGTCTTTCCCATGGGATGACAAAACTTACAAGTGACTGGACCCATTATTCCAGTGAAGTTATAAAGGAAAACTTTAGGCAAACTGAGTTCCTGGTTTCCCATAATAAATTCAAAGCTAAACAGACAAAATTGCTTTTTTGGCATCCTTGCTGGCTAAATCCCACTTTACTCATTACTTACAGGCCATGGTGTTTCTCACCTAATTCCATTACTCATGAAATTACTCATGGAATTCTTAAAGACTCTCATATATATAAACATACATATTGCATCATCTGTACTTTCTGAAATGAATTTATTCGCATTTAATCACAGCAGGAAATCCTCACTTACATTCATACTCTTGTGAATAAACTGACAACATATGCCACATAGTTAAGTTCTTTTTAATCATACACAGACATACATACACATATAACACCATGAGTTTATAAATAACAATTATTACAAATAATGTCATTCTGCATGGCTGTCAATTAATTTATGAATAAGCAGTGTCCATTAATATTCTCACAGATTATTGTGTTTACAAATCAATGAAGACTAACATAATTGTAGTACTTAGAACAATAAGTTCATGGCTTGAGTCTCCACCTGAAATGTAAGTCCCACAAGCAGTGAATGGCTATTCCTGCTCACCACTGCACCTTCAATGCCTACAACAGTGCCTGGATTAAAAAAGGGTCTCTAAAAGATAGTTTAAAAAACTATCTAAAAATATAAATGGGAAATTATTTTCCTCCTTCTTAAATTGACAGTAAAACAATATAAAGAAAGATATATTTTGGATCAAAAGAAAACATCAATTGGCCTACATAATAGCTAGATGGACAGGATTTTAAATGTTTCCCCTTCGTGGGAGAATCTTTCATTACCTAAAGGTTGAAAAATCCCAGTGAATTAGAGTTACTGAGAAACCTTGTATGCAGCAAGTTACAGTAACCTAGGAGACCATTGCATATGAGTTAGCACAAGGACAGAAGGGAATTCAAGAAAGGACATGAAACTCCAACTACCTGTGGACTGTGTGTCTGAGGGCAATATGCTTGCACGCTTAGAGCCAATGAGCACAGACATCCCTCTTATTGGAAATATTTGGTCTAACACACCCAGCTTGTGGAGAAAAGCATGCAATATGCCTGGTCCATGGGAAAATATATCCTCCACGAAGTGTTAACACTTGGCCGGCTACGCATTGGATCTATCGTCATGGTGACATCCCTATTTTCTCTATTATGCTGAAAATGTCTGCTGAGTTCTACAGTCTTCCCTACTGGGTATGATCAATATTTAGGATGATAGAAACATGGAGCTTGTTCTAACATGACGACTTCCTATCCAAGTAATTCACAATAAAATTCATAAAACAAGGAACTGGATGTTCCTGTTTATCCTGCTTACACTTAGCTTGGCCCAAGTCAAAAGTATAGGTGAGGCTGACTCCAGAGGCCCAGGGTTACTCTTTAATCCATAGCTCCTGTCATTTTATTGGACCTGTTCCAAGATTCTTGCTAAAGGTTTCATTTTGCTAATAAGAAGTAGTTCTGAATGGATATGGTCCATCTTTCTAATTTTTTATTAAATCAGAAGATGTCTGTGTACTCAAAAAATTAAGAGCCATCGTTGCTAATATCTACACTACATCATGGAACATAGAGATAAGTGGATGGGAAAGAAAGAAAAATAATAAGAAGAAAAAAAAAACTAAATAAAATTGCAAAAAGAGGGCCAGAGATTTCACACCTTAGGAGTTTTTTCTGGCCTCCCAACTATTCTTACCTGCTCACTCTGGCATTGATTCATGGGTGTTGTGCTGCTCTCTGCCTGGTCACCCTGCCAGCTCCAGTGTCACCTTCCCTTCCAGATATAGCCAGAAGGTTTCACTGGAAAAGCAGACTTACTGTATGTGAACGACACAAAGAGAAGTATGAACAGGGACAGCTAGCCTAGAAGACGGAAGGCTAAAGACAAGGCATGTAATGGTATAGACAGGTGCAAACGCCTGCTAGGCCTGCTGAACTTCATGTTAAACTGAGATTGAACCAAACAGAAACCTGAGGATTTACTGATGGAAGGGACTTTAAGGGGTGGGGAACCCGCAGTCTTGGGGCCATATATGACCTTCTGGATCCTTGAGTGTGGCCTTTTGACTGAATATAAATTTTATAGAACAAATCCTTTTAATAAAGGATTTGGGGATCTAGGGGGCCCACATGTAGCCTTGAGGTCACAGGTTCCCCACCCTGAAATGGCTGTCTTGGAAATATGGCCTGGTATTTATTTGCCTGTGATCTGTTTTTGTTTTGTTTTGTTTTCTAAGCCAGGGTCTTGCTCTGTCATCCAGGCTGGAGAATAGTGGTGCCCTCATAGCTCACTGTAACCTCGAACTTCTAAATACTAGAATGCCCTAATTCTTAGTTCTTTGGTAATCTCTTTCGATCCTGTGGCTTTAAATACCCACCATATGCTGTCAACATATAGTTGACATTAACCACAAAGTGATAGACCACTAGAAGAATGACAGTGACTAGAAAAGTAGCAAAAATGAGTTTAATAAATACACATACTAATTTCACTACTCTCAAGAGCATTACTCAAACAAATAAAACATGCATAGCAATATGCTTTATTGATTTGGTGTGCCTGCTCCATCTGAAGCACAGTTGTAGAGGCCACTAAAACAAATATTTTGGCAGTGGAAGAGGACAATGGAAATGGCTTTAAAACTCCTAGAACAGGCAGGAGAGCAGGAAGCAGAGAAGGGATCTTTGGGTCAGACTCTAAATTATAGATTCATTTTGTTGATGCAGCTGTTGTTGCTTTATGTTAGAATTCTATTAGAATTCCCGGGAAGGGGGATACTGGATGTGGGAGGGTAGGGTCCCTCACAGGCTAATATTCATTCATCACTAACACCTGAGCGATCTAACACATTGGAAATTAAGTCTGTGTTTCAAACCCTCTACACTGTGAAACTAAGTGTTCCCAGCTTGTTCTATTTTTGCCATCGGACCATTTCATTTTGAAGACACACTTGGGGAAGATGACAGCATTAATTTAGCTAACAATATTCATTTTGTTTTCATTAGTTGTTTTTGTAGTTTCATATTTTGATGTTTGCTCTGATAAATGCATAATACCCAGAGGGTGCCTCTGTTTGTATTAATAACAGCATCTCATTTGCACCTCATCAATGATAGAACAGCTCAGCTTCACTGTCAAAGAGCATGAATCAGAAATGTTCATGAGAGGAGGGATATTTATAATGCAGATGGAAACTGCAGGGAGAGTGGGGTGCAGTGGACACATACTCTGAAGTGCAAGGCCCTGCACAGGATTAGCAGGAGTGGGGGCTCTAAATAGCTGAGTGATTTGGGCAAGTGACTGCTGCCATCTAAACCTCAGTATTTTAATATAGAAAATGGGTAGGAGTCAATCTTACCATTTAAAAAGTCATGATTCTATAATTATAAACCTATACACATTGAGTTTATAATTTTATAAGCCAATTAATTGAGCAATGATGATTCTTGTGATCCCAGAAATTTTTAGAAGGAAGAACTATATGGTACAAGTAACTGGGGGAGTCATTAAGTAATAATAATAATAACTATCAATTTATTGGCTAATTATATATAGGAATCATGCTTTTTTATGTATGTTATATTATTTAATTACCACCACCATGCAGTTATAGGGGTATTTTATCCCTACTTGAAACATTAAAATTCCTATCCTTAAAGGGTTTTCTGTAACCTGCCCAAAGTCACATAACTAGTGAATGGCAGAACCAAAATTGAAATCCAGGACTCTTAAACTTCCAAACCTAAGCATTTAAGTACATCACCTCTAAGTTAAATTCCAAATAGCCATGTTTATAAAGTTTTGTCTTTCAAGTGCATATTGCAATCACATATATTCATCTCTATGCCGCAGAAATGACTCACCATTTTCTTGTCAGCATGAACGTCCATAATATAGAGATTCGCTCTACTGCACGACTCTACAAAACTGATATAGCAGGATTAAAAAAAAATGGAGCCTTACAGATAAAAGCTTTGGGAAACATTCTAAGGAAAAAATAATAAATGTTTGAATTTATTTCATCAATTGTTTATGAATGTTGGCTCAGAATGCCTGTATCCAGAAAAATGTATTTAGACTTCTGTTATTATCCTTAGCATATTAGATGAATCATCTTTAAATTCCCAGCACATAACACAATGTTATATACAGAATAAACAATAAGTAATAAATATTGGCTATACCTAATTTAATTCATAAGCATTTTCCTAAGTGTAATTTATCCTGAAAATTTACCTCAGTATCTCTTTCTTTGTGGGTCTCTAAAAAAAAGTTAAAAAGCAAATGTTTAATTCTGTTTAAGTGGGAAGGAAAAAGCCAAGGCAGAAAAAGAAAATCAATATTTAAAATATTGGTTAAGCATCCACACAAAGAAGGAAATACAGAGTGTCTCAAAAGTTGCCATATATAGGGAAAATGGGAACTATAGCTAAATGTACCTTTATTTACAAAATATTCATTACAAAACTTTACAAAAAATTTTTTCCTTTGTAGGGAGACTTTTGAGACACCTGTAGTGCTATCATCATGAAACAAGTAGATCCTACCAATAAGATGGGTAGGCTGAAAAATACTTTTAAAAATGTATATGTTCTTTATCTGATGTAACTTATAGGAAAAAATTCTAACAGTGTTTTCCAACAATGAGTTATATTGACTTTAAGTGCTTTATCCAACTATACTAAAAGGGAACTTGAGAAGTTAATATTTTAGGTATTGCTAAGATCCAGATGACCCATGGGGAACTGATCCCAGCACCAGCTGAAGGAACATGGCGTTAGAACATAGCAACCAAGCAATTTGGTCTTACATTTGGGCATGAAAACTTGAAGGTATGCAAAGGTGCCAGAATTAAGAGTTTTGTGGCTGAAGTTGGATCTCTTTCCTTGGTTATCCTCAGAGACAGGTAGATGATCTTGGTCTCATTATTCTTCTTTATGTATCAGAAGTCTAGAGTGAATAATATCCCAATGTAGTTATTTGTATGGAAAATAAATCTACAGTTATCCTACGGTAGATTTCTCATCTATGTAGAGAATGTCACGTCAGTGGCCATGAGTCATATGAAATCGATGACCATCACTCATTAACTAGGCTCTTAAAATTATGTACAAAAATAGCTACTTTACTTAAATCTCCATTGAGTCCTTCTGTTGCCTTTGAATGCAGATCAAGAGAGCTGTTTAGCGTTTAAAATTGTCAGTGCCTTTTTTTTCTAGTCTTTCTCTTATTGTTTTGGATGGGAGAATAAAGAAATCTAAGTTGTGTTGCCAGAGACTCACATTTACATAAACATTCCTATTTAATTTAAATGGTTTTTTTTTATGGTTTAGTGATTTAAAAAAGATGAGAATGGCAATAACACTCAATAACAATTTTTGCATACAAGTATTTTAATTTTAAGTGGTAGTGAAAACAATAGTTAAAGTAACTGTATTCCTTCTACTTTCACTAAACAGCTCCTTTAGCTGTGTCACTAAACAGACAAGTACCTTGATGGTATCTGAGCTGGTGAAAATCAATGAACAAAACTCACTGTGTGGTTTTTCTGCAATTTCTCCCTGCCCCAGATGGATACCTTTCTCTGTGCCCCAGGAGACTGGCCCCTTTCACTGCACCAGCCAGACTCCCTTCCAGCTATTCACTGTGGGCCCAGCCAACGTGAGGCTCTGGCAAAAGACTGGTGAAGTAGAGAAGTGAAAGGTTGGGGAGATTTTCCTTTCTCCCTCCTGGCTTTGGGGTGGTGCTGCTCTACAGCTCAGCTCCTGCCTGGCAGCCCTTCCCACTGCTCAAGCTCTCTGACTCTAGGACCACCATTTCCCTCCCATTTTCCTCTAGGCTAGGAGGTAGTGTCAGCTTCCTGCTGTTGCTCCTCTCTGAGTGCCTAATATCCTTTCTGTTCACCCAGTAAGTAGTCCCTTCATTAAACACTCTTCATGGGAGCAGATTCTGTTTCTCACTGGGCCCCTACTGATACAGTTGTAAACTTGAAGTAGAGCAACTTAAACTTTCCATTCCAATCCCTTAACTCCATTGTAATGTCTGTGCACCATAACCTTTCTTCTCTTTGTGTAATTGAGGCTAGAAGGAAACAGTTCAACAATAACGTCAGGTTTCTGATCTTGGTGGTTTCTGAACTTGGTCATATTTAACCCTGGTAATCAGGAAGCATCATGATATTCATGAACTCTGCACACTGAAAACGTGCTTTCCTTGGGCCCTCCTCTGGCTCCGTTCTTCTTGCCAAGAGGAGCGGGCACCATGCTTCCTCTTGCTGCAGGGAGAGCAGAGAGAAGCCAGAGAGGTATCAGACAGCGATCAGAGAGCAGTGCCTGTGGCACCATGTTGGCTTTTGAGATAAAAGGAAAAATCAGTAATGCTGAACCCATCTTGATTGAAATTTTTGATATTTTGTTGAGTATTTTTTCATCAATTTTAATTTAAAGATATTGTGTTAAAAATTGATTTATCTTGACAACTGAGCTTTGGCCACCTCCTTACATTTTGCACCCAAGGTGAGTATCTCACTCTCCTCTCCCTAGTCCAGGCCCTGTTTAAGGGAGTCAGAGCATTGAAAGTTCTCTCAAATTGACAGAGAGCCATGGCTAGGTTATGGTGCGTGAATAAAGATGCAAGCCTGAAATTTAGACAGACCTAATGTAAATCCCACCACTTACTATTTAATATCTGGCCAGGTTCTTAAAGTCTCTAAGCCTGTTTCCTCTTTGCAAGCTGGAGATAATAATATAGGTCAACAAACCCTAATCTGCACTGCAATGTCCAAAATGTTCTTAGAACCAAAAGATTTTTCATACATGTGGCACACACATACTTGGTAGCAAATCCTGATGCAACTGAGGCAAGGCAGCTCATAGTCTTTATTTAGGCCAGTTACAAAGTGATTACTTGTGGGTTGCTTTCTCAGATCTCACCGGAGGTGGTACAAACTAAATATGTGGTGTACGTACCACAGAACTTGTCTGAAATCTGAAAGTTCTGAATTCTAAAATGTATACGTCCCTAAAGATTTTGGATGATGATTGTGAACCTGTAATAGCTCCTTGATAGGATTCAGCAAGATGATACATGGGAGCGTATTACAGGGCCAGGGCACCTGGTGAACACTAACACTCAATGGGACTAGGCTTTTCAGGGCCCTGGAAAGCTGAAAGCAGAGATTCCATTCTGGGGCACCCAGGCCCTGACACTGCTGACTCCTTGGCTGAAGATGAGATCTTGCAGGCATTGAGTTGGGTTAAAGAGTCAAATAGGTTGTCATATAATTGCTTTCAGAAAACGATGGAAACCCTGAATATCAAAGGTCAGTGGCTTGGCAAGAACAGCCCTTTGCCCACCTGTGTGGACAGCGCCTCTGGCAGCTGTGGGCTCCTGTTAGATTAGGGGGAACTGAGGAAGCGCTGCTGAGATGTGCTGTATCTCCTCCTCTCCTGTCTGCCTTCCGATTAGGTTTGCATCCTCCGCTAATTAAATCAGGAACTTAATCTAACCTTGCAGTGTGTGTGTTGGGGGTGGGTCTCTTCCTGTCAATGTGTAACCTGGCTGAAACACCGCAGTGCTCAATAAACATTGCCTATTAATGTCATCTTAATCATTACGGCTTCCTAACTGGCAACTGGCATTTTCCAGAATTGAAGCTTTCTTAGAAATCAGTTGATTTACTGTATAATCTTTGAGCGATTGCAGATGCAGAGGCTAAAAATTTCACTGTAATTATGAATAAAAGCTTGATTGAAGAAAGTGAAAACGTCATCCCAGTCTGGGGCGGGATATGAACTATATCAGCAGAACATGAAATGATGAAGAGACATCCAGACTGGACCATAACAGAGACAATTCCCTTAATGATACATGACTAAGGACTTTACCAGTGTCCAATAAGGATCGGAAGTTCATATCTAAGTCTGTTTTATATTCTTCAGAGTTCCTTGTTTTTAATTATGTGTCAATTAACTTGAGAGTACAGTATAGAGATTTTATCCCACAGCATAGGTTTAATTATTTTCATTTTTTTGTTGTTGTCTCTGCACTAGCTTCAGAAATACTTTTGGATTATTAACCTGATCAGGGATTCCATCTGGAACTTCAGTCAGACTCTAACGCCTACAATGGGCAAAGCAGCTTGGAGCGACTCTTGGCTGTAGCCTGATGTCTAGGGGAGCCACAGTGGGGGGAAGCCAAGGACTGATTACCACCTCCCTGCCTTGGTTATTTGAGTGAGGACTCTGTGCACCCACCAGAATCTCTTGCCAAGACAGACAATGAAGCGAATCTCCTGACTCCCTGTGTCTCAGTTTTCTCATTTATAAGATTAGTAAATTGCACTAGAATATTTTTTCAAATATTCCTTCTTTCTCCAAAAGTCTTTCCTTATGTTTTTTAAGCTAGGAAGTCCAATGTAGGACAGATAAAAGCAGAGGCATCCTGTGTGGAGGAGATGGGGTGTGGACTCCCCATTTCATCCTCACACTGCCTGCCTTTGGAAAACAAAGATTGGAACCAACCAATGAGCACACAAGTGCCCAAAGGGAAGTAAAACTCAGTGGAAAGAAATCAGGGGGAAGTGGAGAAAAGAGGTAGGGAAGAAAGCAACCTAATGGATGCTATGAACACCATTTGGGCAACGGGCAGACCTGTAGCCAGGACTCAAACATTACAAAACATGATTCATCCAACCTAAAACATTTGTAGCCCTTAATATTCTGCAATTAAAAAAACAACAACAAAAAAAGAACACTGCTAAAGGGTGATCAAATGAATACAATAAAACCTATGGGAAAAAAATAAATTACTTTCCTAAGGTCGCACAGCCAATAACATGGCTATAGGATTCAGGCTCAGTTCAGCCTACCCCAAAGTCCATCTGCTCACCAGTACACTAGAAAAACTAGCCTGCTGAAATAAATATAGTCTGGGCTGAAACTTGGCCTGAAAGAGCCCAGGCTTCATACTATTGTCTTTTCCACTCTGCACAACAGCTTTCTCCTCCCGTCCCCTATCTTCTCCTTGCCTCCTTTCTTTTCTCTCCAAACCACCTCTCTCTAGGCCTCTAGAAATGTGTGGCAGGAAACAGGGAAACTGACAATTGCCAAGTTCCACAGCTTACACTCTAGGAACCCAGACAGAAAACTCCCAGAGCATTTCCTCAGGGCCAGGTGCCCACTCCCAGGTGACCCCACTCAGGGCAGCAGGATAAGTATGGGACAGCTGTTCCTTTCACAGCTGGACAGCAGCCCTCAGAACAGTGAGATAGAGAGGCACGACCACCCTGAGGAAAACATTCTAGAGGGTAGACCCATTTCACAGAAAGATGGTCCTCACACTGGACTTGAAAAAGATGGCCTTATTTTTATTTTCTCGTTAAAACACCCAAATTTTGAGTACTTGTTTTGGTCATGCTGTGTGACTATATAAAAATCTGGATGTCTAAAGATGTGGTTTTATCTAGGGGTTTCTATTCACTATTTGTACAACCTTGGACAAATTACTTCTCTCAGTATCTCAGTCTTTCATTTGTTTGTTTGTAGTCTTGGATTTTTTGTCCTTTGGGGTTTTTGTTGTGTTTGATGTATAAAATGAAGGGATGATTTCTAAAGAGTTCTCAATTACTAGCATTTTCTGGGTTGGCAGATCTTTCCAGAAAATATTTCTAATTCCAAATATAAAGTCAAGCATGGGAGAAATCAAACAGAAATATTAATAGTAACAACACTAATAACTTTCCCGTGTAGCTGCTTGAGAGTTTACATTTGACCCTCTCCACAACTATGCAAGTTAGTGGTCCATATGTCATTTTGTCATCACTCTTCTATGCAAGGAGGAAACACATCAAGAGGTTAAGTAACTTGTTCATAATCACACAAGTGACACCAAAGGGACTTGAAATTGGGTCTTCTGATTTAGAGTCAGTGTACCCTGGCCATATGGAAGAA